ATTTTTTAAGGGTTTCAGCAAATAAGTTACTACATTTTCTTTTTGATGTTTACTGAATGTTATTTCCTATTTTAGATCTCTAAAGTTACTAAACTAAATTTTGTTGTATTATGTCTCTAATGAAATAAATATTTAAGATCAGCAGTACATAAGCTTTCATGGTTTTTGAATTTATTTATTTTTTTACTTTTTTCCCCTTTAACTTGAAAGGTTAATCTAATTCATGGATGTAGCAAAGGCTTTAAAATGAGTAGGAAGCTTATCACTATTCAGCAGAAAACCCTGGTTTTAGCTTTTAAAGTTACTATCACTTATACTTAGCAAAATGTCAATGCAGTCTACTTTTCGAAATGTAGAAGTTTTCTATAATCTGAGAAACATAATAAAATTATTGCACTTACCTTTAGATAAGCCTATTTGGTAGTTAGTACTGCATGTCAATACTCAGAGTTTTCTTTCTCTCCATCCTCTCCTCCAAAAAAAATGTCACCATCTGTTTTTGAAAACTAAATATTTTAACTCAAAATTTACATTTAATATTTTAACAAAAGTGACTTTGACCTTCTTAATTTTCTATTGTATGGTTTTAAAAAACAGTAAATATATTCATGGAAAATTAGAAAATCATACTATATGTGATTTTGTAACCTTATTTTTTCAGTGTTAACCTCCATATGTCCTTCCATCTTTTCTTCTTACCAAGTCCGTAGTCAAATTTCCCAGCTTCAGACCAAGTTTCACATCTGGTTGTTATAGTCCTTAAGTCTCTTTTTAAAAAAATCTAACCCAATTCCCATTTTCTTTTTGTACCATTAATTTATCAAGGGAATGGAGCCAACTCTCCTGCAGGATGTTTCATTTTCTAGATGTGTTGGTTGCATCTGCATTTAGCTTGTTCCTCTGTCCCTTGTATTTTCTGTTAACGCAAAGTTAAATCATAGGGCCTAAGAGATCCAAGTTAAACATTTTTGTCTGGGATATGCAGTAGGCTATGTATTTTTTATTTTAACTTAACAAGAGGCACAATATCTGGATGGGTCATCATTAATGAGATTGAATTTAACTACTGACTTAGGGTGATGACTGATCCCTTCATTGTAGAGTTTCAGCTTTTTCTCCTTGTGACTGGGAAATACTGTACTTGGTGTTACTTTGCACACAGTATGAATCATGAAGTCCCTATCAAACATATGCCTGGGTATAATACTTGCCTAAATTAATAATTTCATGAGGAATCACATATGTTACTTTTCTGGTTTTAATTTTTTTCTTCCACATTATTAGCCACACGTTTTCTGTAAAAGAATTTTTTATCATCTGGGACTATTGGTTTGTTCTCCTGCAAAGACTAGATAAATAAATTCTTTCACTTAGTTACATATTTTTATCAAAAAATGACATAAGTATCTTTTCTGGCTTTCTCCTTTTCTGAATGTTATTATAGACTCATGGATTTTTATTGATTCACCATTTCAGTCAATGTCAGTGATAATTCTCACAACTTTGACTTATTGGGAAAGGGGGACCTTTCAGAATGATTTCTCTGAGAAGCCTTGATTGTTTTTATTTCTTTTCCTGATTGCTTAAAAATCTGGATGTAAAGGTTATTGAAAGTTTTTAATTTTGGTTTTTCTTTATTTTTCCATCATGTACCTCATCATAATAGTAGTCTGCTAGTTCCATAAGCAGGTCTTTTGGGTAACTGAGGAAGAGTGCGTCTCAAAGAAGGATAAAAGCTTTACATTTCTGTTTAAACTGGTCTAAATGTTAGGTATATCTGACAGATAATTCGAAAGTTGCCACATAAATGTTTTTAATGGAGGGCTTTTTTTTTTTTTATGAAACATCACTTATTATTATCAGTTTGCCCATGCTGCTATATAAGGAAATCCTCAATTTATAAATACATGACTTATGAAGATTTGCTTGTTCCACACTTTTTTTTTTTTTTTTGCATTCAACATGTTTTCTCATAGTAAATGCAGATGATAAAATGTATTATTGGATTCTGGCTCTTACAATCTGTGTATGATTTCCAAGTTGGATCAAGCCCATATCTTTGCCTCCCTTCCCTCCTGTTGCCCCACTGAAATAAGATATATAGAATTAAGAAATGAAATCAATAACAAGAAATGGGAATATTACCACAGAATGATAACTGAACATATTTCTGGATTTCTTTTTGAGTACTAGAAGGCACAGCTCTACCCTCCTTCTCCCTACCTCTCTCATCCCTGCACTTGAACTGCAGATAGCTGGCATGTATGCATGCTAAGTTGCTTCAGTCATGTCCTACTTTTTGTGACCCTGTGGACCGTAGCCCACAAGACTCCTCTGTCCATGAGAATTCTCCAGGCAAGAATACTGGAATGCATTGCCATACCCTACTCTGGGAGATCTTCCCAATCCAGGGATCGAACCCACATCTTGCCAGGCTTTCTTTAGAGAAATTGGGAACAGCTAATTACAAGTTATGTCCCCAGAACAAAAGAAAAAGTCATCTTCATTCTGGCATTTAGAGGGCCTGCTGGGTCCCCACCCACACACCCTAAAGGAACAGTACCACTCAGCCTGTACCTAGCCCACACAGAGCTCCTCTCTGGAGAGAAGTCTAGCTAGAAATCAGACCATCTTCACAATAACAGAGGAAATCTGTGTTGGCTAATGAGTCATTCAAGCCTAAAGATGAGTGAGTAACCAAAGATCACAAGCGTGTCAGGAAAGCTAATAGTGTGAAAGAGACTAAAATAACCTGGAAAATTACCACTAAAGAAAATAGAGATATCAGAGAGAAACTTACAAGAACAGAACCCTAGCATACTCAGAGCTCCAAAAGGATACTACATCTGTTGAATAAGAATAAGAGAACACAAGGTTTCAGATTGAAAGAGTACACCACATGCTGAAATAGTGAATTAAATATCATACTGTAACACATTCTTGTAAAACTGCAGAATTCCTAGGGTAAACACAAGATCCAGAGGGAAGTTATGCACAAAATGACAAGTATCAGACTGAAATCAGACCTCTCATCAGTAGCTGGTAATGCTTTAAGAAAGTAAAATACTGCCTTCAGCATTTAGAAAGAAAATGATATGCAGCCCAAGGATTCTATATCCTGCCAAACTATTAATCAAAGGTGAGAGCAGAATAAAGTTGCTTTCAGCCATGCAAGGGCTCAGGGTTTACCTCCTCTTGGAATTAAAAGAAATGAGTGAATTACACATTCATCATCAGCTTTCCTGAAAAACAGAAAATCATTATGTAGTTTTTCATTAAACCTTTTCTTTTAACAGTTTGATTTTTTAAAAAATCTCATTGCTGCCAGAAGGGTTTATTGAGAGGAAAAGGGGAAAGAAGGATTACAACCATAAAATGAGTAGTTGTGGATTTACACCATGAAATAAATTAGAGCTACTATAGCAAACAGCAATAAGCCTACTCTCTTTACTTTCAGTGTGCTGAGATATTCCATATGTTGCACATATAACTAACCTATAGTTTTATATTTCCCAATGACCCCAGCTACAAGCAAGCCAGGACTACCTTTATTCAGTCATAACTGGTTGGTATACCACAAGACCGATAGGGGCGACAGCATCATCTTCTCCCATCATGACTGGAATGACATTATCTGGCTTATATTTAAATGCATCGTTCTGAGTGCGATGTTGAGAGTAGACTTTGGGGTAGAATAGTAGATCAAGGGTAAAGAGCAGGGAGAGCAGCTTAGACATCATTACAGTGTGCTCAGTCACTCAGCTGTCCCAACTCTTTGTGACCCCATGGACTGAGGTTTGCCAGGCTCTGCTGTCCATGGAGTTTTCCAGGCAAGAATACTGGGCTGGGTTGCCATTTCTTACTCCAGGGGATCTTCCTGACCCAGGGTTCAAACCCATGTCTCCTGCATTGGCAGGTAGATTCTTTACCACTGCTGAGAAGCCCCCATCATTGCAGCTTTCTAAGTGAAAGATGGCAGTAGCTCTACTATGGTGTTAACAGTGGAGCTGGTGAAAAATAATTAGAATCTGGATATGATTTAAAGGTAGGGCCAACAGGATTTCCTGACTGGTTGGATTGGGGTGAACAAGAAAGGACTCAGTATTTCTGGTCTGACCAGTAAAACAACAGGTTGAGGGGAAAGCTTAGGGAATAAATTTTGAATGTTATGTTTCAGAAATCCATTTGACCTCCAAATAAAGATGTCAGTTACTTGGATTGGCACATACACATGTATGCCTGCAGTTCTGAAGAAAGATCTGGCCTGGAGATAGAATTTGGGGAAAAGTCAACATATAAATTGTATTTAACGCCATGTGATTCATGGGTGAGATCACCTGTGAATGAATAGAGATAAAGAAGAGGTCTGAGGACTTGGACCCTAAGACATTTCAACATTAAGATTCAGGGAGATGAGAAGGAATGATCGAAGATGACTAGGAGGAGCATCTAGTGGGGTATAAGGAGAACCAAGAAAGAGTGGTGCCCTGGAAGTCAGGAAAGAAAGTGTTTCAGAAAGGAAAGAGCCATTTACTATTTTATGCTCCTGAGAGGTAACACAGAATGAGCATTGTTGGATTTGGCACCATGTTATATTTTTTCAAACAGCTACTCAGTTGTTAGGACAAAAGCATGTATTAAGTTGTTGGAGCCCACCTACTTCATAAATGGAAGGAATAGGTATTTCTTTTGACTTAGGCGCTTTGTGAAAAAATTATTAAGAATCCAAGGGAGGCACAAACAGGGAAGTTTGGGGATCTTTGCTTTAGAGGATCGTGCCAACTGAGCATTTTAAGAGGGGGAAGCACCTCTTGCCTTTTCTTTGTTTATGCTGAAAAGTTTGAGTTAGTAATTTTAGCTGTGATCAGATTACATGCAGTTAATAAAACTGCCCTAGTGTGGTGGTTCAGTATAAAAAAAAGTAAACCTTATCCTGTGAAATGTCAGTAGTACATCTTTGTGTGAATTTTTCTTCTTGCCTCCATAGGTATGGTCTGAATATGCGTTGCTTGGCAGCTCGGGTCAACTATAAGACTTTGATTATCATCTGTGCACTCTTCACTTTGGTCACAGTACTTTTGTGGAATAAGTGTTCCAGTGACAAAGCGATCCAGGTTCCACGGCACTTGAGTAGTGGCTTCAGAGTGGATGCCTTAGAAAAAAGAGCGGCAGCGTCTGAGAGCAACAACTATGTGAACCACATGGCCAAGCAGTCTGAGGAGGCCTTCCCTCAGGAACAGCAGAAAGCTCCCCCTGTTGTCGGGGGCTTCAATAACAATGGGGGAAGCAAGGTGTTAGGGCTCAAATATGAAGAAATTGACTGCCTCATAAATGATGAACACACAATTAAAGGGAGACGAGAGGGGAATGAAGTCTTTCTTCCATTCACCTGGGTAGAGAAATATTTTGACGTTTACGGAAAGGTGGTTCAGTATGATGGCTATGATCGGTTTGAATTCTCTCATAGCTATTCCAAAGTCTATGCACAGAGAGCCCCTTATCACCCTGATGGTGTGTTTATGTCCTTTGAAGGCTACAATGTGGAAGTCCGAGACAGAGTCAAGTGCATAAGTGGGGTTGAAGGTTGGTATCCGTCTACTCCACTGCATTTTTCTATCCAGATTGTGTTGAGGAATAAGTGACTGTAACTGTTAATTACATAGCAAGTATTACACAGCTTATTATCAAGAGACCTATCACCGCTCTGACTTAAACCCGAATCTTGGACAGCTTTCTAGATGGTGATTCAAGGGCTCCAATAAGATCATACCTGATTAAATAGGATTATGCCATTAACCTGCCCCGGGAACTAAAGTTATCAGTAAAGTCAAGGCACAGCATCTTCAGAAATTTTACATTAAAATATACAGTTATTATCCTATGAGAGGAGATGGGAAAGGGAGACAGACCATCCATCGAACCCATCAATGTACTAGTGCCGTCTTGTTATCAGATTAGCTAGGTATCATCTCTGGTTGAAGGGTTAAAGTTCTCAGAACAAGATAATACATAGTACCATTTTCTTTGAACCTATATTGGAACTCCTATAGTCTGCTGTATATATTGTCTTTCCTTGTCTTTAAAATTTGGAGCACTGAGGGTTCCTTATGGATGTTTTGGAATTTATATTTCAAACCTAGAATTGATCAGAAAGTCAAACTGAATTTGACTTTAAAGTATATAATTTAATCAAAGGAAAGAACAATGTGTTTTAAGATTTCTTGGTTTGAGTTTTATTTCATTTTTCTCATTTTGTTATAAAAAGTAATTTTCACATCTTAATATTTTAATTTTTGTAATATCATTACAGAATCTTTAGTAGAAGGAAGGGAACACATTCATATAGATTCTTACCATTCAAGATAATGATTGCCATTTTTGTATATTCTCAGAAGGTCTTTATACCTAGGTGTATGTTTTAACATAGTTGTAATGATATTTATTGTGCAGTGTTCAAGAGGGTAACAGTTTGTTAGAGACATGAAAGTTCTCCATTGCCAAACCTTTTTCCCCCAGTTAACTTTTAAAAATGTGTAAGCTTAGTAGGTGCCTAGGTGCTAAAAGTGAAAAGCACCTATAACCACTGTTAATATTTTGATGTTTTTTCCAATCTTTTTGTTGTTGTTGTATATATACACTTTTTTAAACAGTTTAGAATCATGCTCTGTAGTCAATTTTGTGTTTTTTTCCCCTCAACAGGATTATTTCCTCTTATTATTGAATGTTGAGCATTTTAAGCACTAATACTCATAATCAGGACATTCCATAAAAATGTATGGAATAATATATGGAACGTTGCTCTTTAGTTGGACAGTTAGGTCATATATCTTTTGTCATTATACATAATGGTGTGGATATTCATAGTTAATCATTTACTGTTTTAAATGTATTCTCAGAGTTGTTTCCCTAGGAAATAAATTACCTTGCCAAATAGTATTAGTCAGTTTTACCAAACTATTTTCTAAGAAGGTTGACCCTATTCATGCTTCTGGTAGCAGAGTATAAGGGTACTCATCATCTCACTCCTGCCATCATGAAACATTATTTTTTAATCTGTCATTTACAAAGGGATCTCATAATTTGCTTTCTGTAGCAATTAGTGAGGTCAGGTATCTTTTTCATATCCTTTTAACTGTTATAGAATGGCCTTGATTTTCTTTCCCTTCTCTTTTCATTGTGATTAGTGTTGTTTTTTGGGAAAATATATTGTGAGACCTTTTATATACACACACACATACACACACACACACACACACACACACACACACACACACACACATATATATAGCAAGGGTAGTAGCACCTTATTACATTTGTTAAAGATATTTTCTTTAATTTGACTGTCTTTTAATTTTACTTATGACTTGTTAGTTTTAGAAATTTTTAGTTCTATTTACTAAGGAATTTTTTAAAAAATTACTACTTTCATGCTTAGAAAATAATTTGCCATGCCGTGATCAGCTATTCATCTTTATTTTCTCTAATAGTTTTATGGTTTTGTATTTTTACATTTAAGTTTTTAGTCCCTCTAAGCTGATTTATATTTTGACAAGTGGTACAAAGCCAAGGTCTAATTTTAGATGTTTTCCCCCCTAACATTTATTGAATCTTCTTTCCCCTGCTGATCAATGATACAATCTTATCATTATACTAAAATATTTTAAAACTAGAGTATGTTCTGTTCCATCGATCGGTCTATCACTTCTTGGGCCCATTGCACATTTTCATAGTTATTACCATATAATAAGATAGTGTAAACCTTTCTTTTACTCAGTGAAAATCTTTTGAAAAAAGAAATCTGCCCTTGGAGAAAGAATATTGAAGTTAAAAAGCTTATCTGCAGCCTAGGTTTCTTACCCTATATGGTCCCCAATTCCTTAAACTATTTTGAAACTACACCATAATGCATATGGTTTTATAAGTTCCTGGTTTCTGCTGTGCCCATCTGTTGCTTGTTAACTTATTTTAGGGCTCCAAATAGGAGTTTATCTCTCAACACATACACCATGATGCAATAATAAAATATTCTGTACAGTGTGGTTTTACTGTATTTCCCATGTAAGCAATTACTAAAGTAAACACTCATACCAAACATTTGAAACTTTTACTTAGAACTTTACAAGAGGTAATCCATTAGTGAATTTATCAAAAATCTATGGTTAAGGGACTTCGTTTGTGGTCCAGTGGTTAAGACTCTGCACTCCCAGTGCAGGGGGCCTGGGTTCAATCCCTGGTAGGGGAACTGGATTCCACATGCTGCAGCTAAGACCTGGTGCAGCCAAATAAATAAAAACAAATGTACTTTTTAAAAAAAATCCATGGTTAAATATACAACCATGATTCATTTTTTTAAAAAAAGTACTCCTTATTCTCAGGAATTAATCTTGACATGAGGGATATGAGAAAGAATTGCAAATTGTTTATACTTTAAGTTGCCTAGTCATAGCTGGCTTCTTAAGAAAATACTTTAACCATCTGATGATATAGTTGCTAGACCAAATCTTGACATTGGAGGGAAAGATGAATATCTAATTAACTTGACTGTTAAGTACAGATGTTAAGAAAATTTCAGGTTTAATACTCTAGAATAAAACAGGTGATTGTTAACTATCAATATATGTGTTTAAATTGTATAGAGCTTGAATGATGAAATAGAATTATGAAAAATGACATCTATAGCTATGAGCAAGAGTAGCACTCATTAAAAATCAGTCCTTAAGAGATAATTTACAACACTGCATTGTTATCTGTCAACAAATAATGAATGAGAATGAATAAATATTTAATTTTGGTTTTCATTTCTGGTTGACTTGGTACTATTTTTAGTAATTATGAAAACAGTGTAATAAGGAAGCTTTAAAGTTGCTGGATAACCCTGTGAAGTAAAACAGTGAAAAGTGGTATTCAGAATAGGATTATGAATGTCTGGAGATAGTTATTTATTAGTTATTTATTTTGTTTCTCTATTTTATAGGTGTACCTTTATCTACACAGTGGGGGCCTCAAGGCTATTTCTACCCAATCCAGATTGCACAGTATGGGTTAAGTCACTATAGCAAGAATCTAACTGAGAAACCTCCTCACATAGAGGTATATGAAACAGCAGAAGACAGGGACAAAAACAGCAAGCCCAGTGACTGGACTGTGCCCAAGGGCTGCTTTATGGCTAGTGTGGCTGATAAGTCAAGATTCACCAATGTTAAACAGTTCATTGCTCCAGGTAAGTCCTGCTCTATGTGTGTTTGCTAATTTTATGTTGATTTATGGCACCTGATACTCCCTTAAAATGGTTTTTATGGTTGTAAAAATCACATTAGCAGATGCCTTGATATTACATGTATAAAGACACAAATAGTGTCACTGAAATGAAATCTAAAAAAGGATCAGCTAAAAAGTTCAAGGTTACATAAGGAATATTTACTGTGTGAAGAGCCAGGCCACATGAACCAGGTTACTGCATGAGGGCTTTCTCCTTCCAGAGATCTATATCCCACAGGAATGAAGTTCCCCAGTTTATTTCAGTGTAGTATTCATCCTTTAATTTTCAAACTATTTTGCATTAAAGTGGAAATTTTTCTTTCTAGAGAGAGCCATCCTTTCATTTGCCGATTTTTTACCAGTAGCTTTTTATTTTTTCAAGCTAATATAGCATTACCAACCAGGCCTGCTTCCTATGTGGAATTTTGTTAATATGCTAGATTGTTTCAAACTTCATATAAAGCCATTTTGTTAATAAAATCTTTTATAAAATCAAATTAACTTTATGCAACATTTCCCCTTTTACTAAGACAGTCTCATTAATTGGGATGTAATGTATTTCTCTCCACTAATCAATATCCATGAGAATTAATGAGTTCATTAGTTAAAAAGACAATGGAATAATTTTAGTTAACACCTCAGGCTTAGTTTTCTGTGGAGAAATATTGTCAAGAACAGAACTCATCCTTCCTCCCACCGGCCTTGCCAGTTGGTAAATAAAAAGAGTGAAAAGGTTAGAAGACCTTTTCTGTATTCTCTCCTTGTCCTTTATTGATGGCTGTGTAATTCACAGACCTTGAAAGCCACAATACAAATCTACTCCTTCTAGATGGCCTTAAGTAATGGATTTATGAGTGTTTAATGCAGTACAAATAATGAGTGACCTTTAGTTTTTTATTCTGTGACTAAAACTTCTTTTATCCTGTGGCATTCTGTGATATTCTAGTACACAGAGCATCTTTGCCTATTGTAAAACAACAGGCTTGGCTGGGTGAGAAAGTACATGGAGATGTTTAAGAATATTTAGCTTATGGCTTGTAGCAGGAAATGCTTAGACTAAAAAGGACTTTTGATTTTGGGTGCACCTAGAGGGCTTATTTTTACACTGATGAATAGTGTAGTCTGGATTAGGGTGGAAAACAGCAGCCCTCATTTTGATCTCCTCAAGGGCTGGGAAGCTTTTTAGAACCATCTCTTGAATTCTGTTCTATTTAGAGCAGTAAAAGAAACAGCATATTATAACCAAACAGTAGCAACAACAGGAAGAAGAAGAAATATTTTGTTTTTGATTTCTTCTTCCTCCTGCTGCTACTACTGTTTGGTTTTAATATACTCAGTTTCTTTTATTTGTAGAAGTCAACTTTCTGAGAGTCAGCTGTCTTCATACTATAGATATGCAAGAGAAATTTCCTGTTTGACTATTTGCCAAATAGAACAGCTCTTATTATTTTTTCAGTCTCTGAAACCTTTGGCTTCAGAATTTTCATCATTGCTTTTTACTGTGTTCCAAGCCACTATCCTTTTTCTTTTTAATCCTCACAGTTTCCTTGCAAAGTAATATTATCTCTACTTAACACATGAAGAAACCGAGTTGAACATCTCAAAGCTAGTAAGTGGTGGAGTTAATAATTCAAACTAGGTTTGTTTAACTCCAAAACCTATGCTTTCCCCTCCATCTCTCCCAGTATTCCTCACTTTTTGTTGACTACAGGAGCCCATTGCTTAATTTCCAGAAGTTTTATTCACAATTCCAGTGAATGTCTGAAAACAACCTATCATTTCCAACAACAGTGGGTGATTAAGAGCATGTACTTCATAGAGCCAGACTAAACAACCTGGGTTCAACTCTTTGTACCTTAGGCAAGGTACTTAACTTTTCTGTCTCTGTTCATCATCCATAAAGAGTAATAATAGCACTACCCTTGTAATTGTTATAATGGCTAAATGAATTAATGTGTAAAGCACTTAGAACACAGTAAATACTTACCAAATATTAATTAAATAAAAAATTTTTAGGGAGTTCCCTGGCAGTCCAGTGTTTAGGACTCCATGCTTCTACTGTGAGGGGCTGGGTTCAGTTGCTGATGGGGGAACTACAATCCCACAAGCATGCAGCATAGCCAAAAAAAAAAATTTGAAATTGCTTTTCAAAAAGTCACTCAAAGCATCATTTGATGTTTAAGTCTAAGATGTCCTCAGTCTCCATACAACTTCCATAATTGTCTGTTCCTTCAATTCATGTCTAACCGTTCTTTTCTTATAGTCTCTTTCTTGTAACTATGTGTTAAACCAGCTTTTGGCTGTTTATTTTCTTTTTGTGGAATAGATATATTAGACAGTCATTGGTTATTGATCAAACAATTTTTGATTTAGAAAAGGCATTTTGACCACAGTACCTTAGCTATCTGCTAAGGCCATTAACCCCTCTAATGTAAACTAGACAGGCCAAAAGGTAAAAGAGCTTTGGTCTGATGCTCACAAGCCATCGTAGACTCAACAATTCTGTCATTTCTTTATGGTTAACTTAGTAAAAATTAAAATTAAAAAATAATAATCCAACATATAAAATATTGATGTATTAATTTTCTATGGTCAGTGGTTATCAAGGATGAATTGCAAGTAACTTTTAAATACAGAGAGAGACCTTCTATTCTAACCAGTATTTTTTGGTATATTTTTTTCCCTGCAGAAACCAGTGAAGGTGTGTCCTTACAACTGGGGAACACAAAAGATTTTATTATTTCATTTGACCTCAAGTTCTTAACAAATGGAAGTGTGTCTGTGGTTCTGGAAACAACAGAAAAGAATCAGCTCTTCACTGTACATTATGTCTCAAATACCCAGCTAATTTCTTTTAAAGAAAGAGACATATACTATGGCATCGGGCCCAGAACATCATGGAGCACGGTTACCAGGGACCTGGTCACTGACCTCAGGAAAGGAGTGGGTCTTTCCAACACAAAAGCTGTCAAGCCAACAAGAATAATGCCCAAGAAGGTGGTTAGGTTGATTGCGAAGGGGAAGGGCTTCCTTGACAACATTACCATCTCTACCACAGCCCACATGGCTGCCTTCTTCGCTGCCAGTGACTGGCTGGTGAGGAACCAGGATGAGAAAGGCGGATGGCCGATTATGGTGACCCGTAAGTTAGGGGAAGGCTTCAAGTCTTTAGAGCCAGGGTGGTACTCCGCCATGGCCCAAGGGCAAGCCATTTCTACATTAGTCAGGGCCTATCTCTTAACAAAAGACCATATATTCCTCAATTCAGCTTTAAGGGCAACAGCCCCTTACAAGTTTCTGTCAGAGCAGCATGGAGTCAAGGCTGTGTTTATGAATAAACATGACTGGTATGAAGAATATCCAACTACACCTAGCTCTTTTGTTTTAAATGGCTTTATGTATTCTTTAATTGGGCTGTATGACTTAAAAGAAACTGCAGGGGAAAAACTCGGGAAAGAAGCGAGGTCCTTGTACGAGCGTGGCATGGAATCCCTTAAAGCCATGCTCCCCTTGTACGACACTGGCTCAGGAACCATCTACGACCTCCGGCACTTCATGCTTGGCATTGCCCCCAACCTGGCCCGCTGGGACTATCACACCACCCACATCAATCAACTGCAGCTGCTCAGCACCATTGATGAGTCCCCAATCTTCAAAGAATTTGTCAAGAGGTGGAAGAGCTACCTTAAAGGCAGCCGGGCAAAGCACAACTAGGGCTCAGAACCAAAATCCTCCGTCAGCCTCTGCTCTTCACAGAAACTAGAGGCTCTATGTCAGCAGAGCATAGGCACATTTTAAAAGGTTGTATACTAGGTTTTTGTGGATTACATCAGTGATAAATGATCCTTAAAACCAGTCTTCTGAGATAATTGCATTCCATGGGTTTAGTGTTTAGACTGTCGTTGGCATTTAGAGCAGAAAAGTGTTTAGTCAGTGAGCTGAATGAAGATATTTAACTTGTCCTTGCTTATCACCCTGTTCAGTTCCACAGCTAGTCCAGTTCTCTCGATTGGGGAAAGACAACGGTAAGTAGCTCTTAATGGCCAGCTGTCCAGCACTTGTCTGAAAACTTAGTATGGGGCTCTTTTAAAATGTGGTTATTTATGTTTATGTTGAAAGCAGACTTTAAAAAAATAATGTGCTAAAATACAGTAAATATGTACTTGTAGCCTGAATAGTGGACTGTGCGCAACTTTAAAGATGATCTTTCTTTTCTATAAATTAATTTCTTAGGGATGGATGAGCATCTTTTGCATTTGTTCAAGTTGTTATATGTGGAGAATATTTTGAATTTATGGTTTGCTTGAAGTGTGTAAATTAAAAACACAACCAATGTTCAGGCTTCACAGTTATATAATGTAAGCACAACTAAAATGAAACTTGTTGACTGCACAAGAAATTACAAAACATAACAAAAATGTTATCTGTTTTATGAAACGATCTACAATCAGTAAAGATTTGATAATCAGTATACCCCTCCTTTACCCCCATTGTGGTGGTTTCTTTTTGCCACTATCTCAAATTTTCTATTCATTTCAGACTACACTCGAGAGTTTTGTCTATTTGGGGGGTACATTTTGGGGACATTTGGGAAATTTTACTATAAACCTAAATTTGTGGAGGAGGTAGTAATTTTAATAAGTCCACTACCACTGCCTTTCCAACATTCTTTTCCCCTTTAAAGAAAAATATTAGGTCAGATATTATAAGGCTTGTAGCAGATTTTTTTCCTACTTAGATCATTCTTGGTCTACAGCTTTCCAAACTATTGATGTACACAAAATACATAGTTTTTATGTAAGCGTTCCAAACTTTTCTGTATCAGTGTTTTTTCTTTGCAGTTTTTAATTTTAAATTATTTCAGCTCTTGGATAAAAGTGATGCTACTATATTAGCTGTACATGTGTAATCAGACCTTTATTTGGGTTTTATATCTCACATACCTCACATAAATAGGCATCATAGCCCTCATACCCTGGGCAATGTCTGCTCTAGGACTTAGGCAGTAGGTCAGAACTGAGGGAGGTTGATTTTGCTGTCTCTGTTTTAGTGTGTGACAATACCTTAAATCAGTAGTAACTTACACAGATTGGAAATGTGAGATCCCGTACTTTCAGAGGACTGAGTCTGACACATGCGGTGCAGTGTGTGTGTGTGTGACCTCTATGAAATGCACATCAAGAGCGAGGTGGGCACCTGCCTGCCCACTGCATCTTGACTGCACTCAGCCTACCAGCACCACTCAGAAATGGGAAAATGCATACCTGCCTTTGTGCAAAATACATGTTATATCAGCAGCCGGAACAAAGACCTACAACTGACATGAAAGTGTTAGCCACTAAGTCGTGTCCAACGCTTTATGACCTCATGGACTGTAGCCCACCAGGCTTCTCTGTCCATGGAATTCTCGAGGCAAGAATACTAGAGTGGGTAGCATTCCCTTGCTCCAGGGGAGCTTCCCAACCCAGGGATCGAACCTGGGTCTCCTGCATTGCAGGCAGAGTCTTTACCATCTGAGCCGCCAGGGAAGCCCATGGAAACTGTCCATGGAAAAGTAAGTTGAAACTCCCAGTTTATATGACCACAAGTCAATTTTGCCACAACACAACAGTTGTGGGGTGTTAGGTTTCCCCCTAGCTGTTGACCTTTGTAGTCTTCATACATTAGATTTTTTAATTTTATTTTCAGCACTCAAAAATAAACTTTCTCTAGTCTGGAAATCCTTTTTACTCCATTGTATTTGTTATTATTTAGATCAGTCCAGATTTCTGCCTTCTGTTTGCATACTGCTACTTCAGATTGAGGGAATCAGTGAAAACAGTATGGTACTGCTTCTGTGACAAATATCAGTGCCTTAACAATGTGGCTGTCTTTTCTCACTGAAAATAGAAAGACATTTTGATCTAGAAATGGCATTGCAATTTCTTTGCTGTTGGTCTCATCCTGCCTTCCATGTTGCAACAGCAACTCTATTTTTCCTGTGATCCCAGGATTTTCAGAGGGTGAGTTGAACCTGTAGTATCCCTGGCAGTACAAACCAGTCGTTCTCAAACTTTAGAATGCCTCACAATCACCTGGGAGCTTACTGAAATACAGATTCCAGATATCCAGTAAATCTGCCTGTGAAGCTTGGTAGTCTGCATTTTAAAAATAAGCATTCAGGTAATTTTGAGGCAAATGATCTGAGGGACAGGTGGGGAAACACTGCCCAAGGCCATCCATCATTTTTGTTCCTTAACACCTATGGAGTTTTCTAGGGTCTTAAATCATGCAAAATGTTTAGTCTGAGATTAGAGAGAATGGGGAAGGTATTTTACCATTTTTTAAAAGATTCTTTAAATTTTTCCTTGTTCCAAGATTATGGGTATTAGTTGTTTACACTTATCTTGAGTTAGCTTTGATGTTTAAATAAATCTGTTGCCACTTCAGTTATAAAACCAGCCAAAAGTTCCCAGATAAAGGTCAAGTTTGACCCTTTCAGAGTTACTGTACATAAAGGCTTCATCCAAAAACCATCCAGTGTACATGAGCAAATACAAGAAATGACACACAAGCACAACTCTCCAGACGTGGCAGTCCTTTTTCTTTATAGGTGTGCAAAAGTTTCACTGAAAGCTGCTATTTTCATCCTCCTTGTGATTGTTTTTCTTGTTTCTCCATTGTACATGTGGGTTATAGACCATGTGTTAAATATGCAATAAAGTGTTTACTGGATGCCCTTCTGAAGGGTAGTCCTTTGTAAAGCTGTACAGACTTTGCAGTTTAAGCACAATGTGCACATGTTAGTTTTATATACAGCAAAACTTGATTTTTTGCAGATGGAAAGGTATTTTGTTTCTATACAAAGTAAATGGATTGTTTGTGCTTAATGTAAAGCTGCTTTATATAATTGTAAAATAAAGTTTTTATCTTAAAAGAACTATACCTGGATGTTTCTCTTCTCTGTTTGTTCTAAGATTACTTGAGCCCAGCAAGCAGATTTCTGACCATTTTCAGTTCAGCTGGTGGCAACTAGTCAGGCAACAAATGTTCATGAAAGGTGTATGAGACCCTTAAAGACAAATTGGGCAGTATCATATGGGCCTTCACCCTAAGGAGGGTTAGTCCTGGGTGGGGTGGTGGAGAACACAGTGTCCACAAGCAGTTTCAGAAAAATAAAATGCCAGATGATACGGTCAGTCAGGGAGAGTGTTACAGAGGAGATGGAGCTAAGCAGGGCCGTTATGCCTGGGTACCAGCTAGAAGAAGAAGAGGTAATGTGAGCGAAAGCAGGGTGCCATGACAGTAGTGAGGATGCCCTTTCCCATGCTAATTCAGGCTGGTAACCATTTTTGACTCATTCTGATTTAATTGAAAATTCGTTCTTCTTGATTTTCCATGTTACCCTCTTCTCCAGAACAAAAAGCATTACTTAATCTTTCCCCCTCTTCCTTTCAGAGAGTAATGATTTAGGCTCCCAAATATATATGAAATCAGAGACCAGTCTGGCTTTCTGTTATGTTTCATTGCACATTATTTTTTAGATTATAAATATCCCGCACCATTTGTATAGTGGAATTCCAGTTGATCACCAATCAACTTTTTCTAGCTGATGAGTGCGTATCATTTGACAGGCTGCTTATCAGCATTGTTGCCATTTCTTCCTTCTCTTTCATCCTCAGTTGGGAAACCGCCATCAGGTTGCAAGAAGTCCTTGGTCTCAATGACGTCTCAGGCTGCTTTTGTCTTAATTTTGCTATTTGTAGCCAAACTGTTAATACATCAACCATTCCACTTCAGCACACTGAGCATCACATATTAGCCTCCCTATAGCCCTTTGACGGGGGTCAGACCCTCCATGCTACAGAGAAGCTGTTTCATGGTCTGGTGAGCTCTGCTTTCCTGAGAATGCTTCCTCTGTCTCCACAGGGCTCTGATGGCCACTGTGTGCCCTGTGACTCTGCCTCCTCTGGCATGACTGTAGACAGGGTGAGTCCCTCACTCAATCTGGGCCAATCAGTCTCTTCCCAGGAACTGGAAATTGGGATGGATTAAAAAGGGAAAAAAACTGAAGCAGATACACAATGAAAAGCAGAGATGAGAGCAGAATCTTGGCAGTGCTTCAGGCCCTGGATCCAATGCATTTCTGAGGCCTGCTGCATTCTGCTCTGGTTCCATAAGCTACCACTGTATCCTTAGGATAAGTGAATCCTGGTTAACAACATAGTATCTCTATTACAAAGAAAAATATAATGTGAGTTATGCATTTTCCTTTGCTCTGGACCACTGTATTTGCTAGGGCTGCCATTTTTTAAAATGCCACAGAAATATGTGGCTTAAATAGTGGGAATTTATTTCTTTGCAGTTCTGGAGGCTAAAAGTCCAAAATCCTGATGTCACCAGGGTTGGTTTCTTCTGAGGCCTCTTCCCTTGGCATGCAGATGGCCGCCTTCTTGCTGTGTCCTCACATGGTCATCCCTCTGCATATTCCCTGTGTTCTAACCTATCATACTAAATCGGGGCCCATTAATTCACAAACCTCATTTTACCTTAGCTACCTCTATAAGAGACTTCCCTCAAAGCTCAGTTGGTAAGGAATCTGCCTGCAATGCAGGAGACCTGGGTTCAATTCCTGGGTCAGGAAGATCTGCTGGAGAAGGAAATGGCAATCGACTCTAGTTTTCTTGCCTGGAGAATCCCATGGACAGAGGAGCTAGCAGGCTACAGTCCATGGG